CGCCCACTCATCGCCGATGGGGGCCCGATGGCCCACGCGCCCAGCAGCGTGCGAATCCGGCGTCGAGGGCCTGTCGCCAATGGTGAGGGCCAACTCGCGAAGATCTGCCAAATTTCGCAAGGGTGCCCTCGCATTCGTGCCTCCCCGGTCCGTCCTTGGCCACTCTCGTGGGCCGCGCCCCGCTTCAAAAGCTTCGGGATGGCCTTCCAAGGCCCGTTGCATCCTCACCGTGCATCCTTCTGATACGGGTCGACTGTATCGGCGATGCATTGCCGCTTCCAGGTCGATAGGGGGACGAACAATGACATAAACAGAAACACTCGGAGGTCCGCGCGGATTTCTCGGATCGGCGCTTGACCACTCTCCCCTGGCGCGCGGAGCGCGCCAGGGGCAGCGCCAGAGGCGCCGCCAAGGGGGTTCAGCGCGGGTCCGAGAAAGCCGCGCGGACATCCGAGTTCATATGTTGTTCCGTCTTTTTGCCAGTGCTCGCTCCCCTACCGACCCCCCCCCCCAAGTGGGCCAGGCTCCCCGAGCGCCCCCCCCCCCGCGAGGGCGGCGCGCGCCGGGACGCACGCGGGTCTTCCGAGGGAGGCGGGCCCCGCGGAGGTCTGTGGCCGCCGTCGGGCTCCCTGAGGGGGGGGGCCCTCCCCCGGGCCCCCCCCCTGGGCCATAGAGCAGCGGCCAGGGGTGAAGATGGAGGGCTTCTTCGAAGAGTTTGGGCGACCCGTCCTCCTCCTCCTCCTCCTCCTCCTCCTCCTCCTCCTCCTCCTCCCAAATCTCCTCCTCCTCCCCTCCTCCTCCTCCTCCTCCTCCTCCTCCTCCTCCTCCTCCTCCCCTCCTCCTCCATCTCCTCCTCTCCCTCCCCCTCCTCCACCTCCTCCTCCTCATACATCTCCTCCTCCCCCTCCCCCTCCTCCACCTCCTTCTCCTCCTCGGGCCGCCTACGGCCCCGGGGGAAACCGTGCAGGTTAAGAACTGGTCCCTCGAGAAGGGGATCGACTGGAGAATTGATGTACCCCTAGAAGTGATCTGCTCGTCGAATCCATAGAGACATGCGCCGAATGCTCGCAGATCTACACATTTTCTACGCATGGCCCCACGGAAGAATCAGTTTGGGAGGAGTAGATCAACTCTGTAGTCGATCCCCTACTCGAGTCCTGGAGGAAGGCCGCTGGGTCATGGAGGGTCCCCGCCGTGTCGCAGAGCTCGAAGACCAGAAACCAATATCAGCGGTAACTGTTGGAGGTCCGTCCTGGAGGTTCTCGCCGTGTCGCAGTATTCGGAGAACAGAAAGCAACATCAGCGTTGGTTTTTGGGTGTCCGCGCGGGTTTCTCTTGGGTTGGCACCAGGCCTTCCTGGCGCGCTCCGCGCAGAAGTCTTCGTGCCCTCTGGGAAGTTTGTTTGTGTCTCCGGGGAAGGCTTAGACAACCTTTCAGAAGGCCAGGGAACCCGCCTATCCCCCGGGGAACGCCGCCTGGAAAGTCAATATGAATGTAGATCCTCTTGCTCTGAAAGCAGCGCGGTGACCACATCGTTGGGTGAGTCGGTGGGGAGTCATCAAGCAGTGGCGAAGCGTCTTGGTTTGTCTATAGGCCCACCGAAAAATGTTCGAAGAGCCTTCTGTGGTCTGCACGACATGTTCGTATAACCTTTCTGGCTGGGGCTGCCTTGTTTTAACACCTCGGGCTTATGCTCTGAGAACATGGTTGTTGTTCTTAGAGCATTTTGGGGTTCCAAGAACATTTTGTAGTAGGCCTACAGGAATGCCGGGACGGTCGGCCCCTGCTCAAGAGTCGGGGTGGCCGCACGAGCGTGGGACTCGGGTCGCTCTCCGAGGACGTGTCTCGGGATGCCGTGGCCCCCAGAGTCCCCCCAACAGAAGCCGTGCGGTGGCGGGCCCCGTGCGGTGAGGCCCTCCTGGGGACGGCGAGGCCACCGCACGGCGAGGCCACCGCACCCTCTGGGGCCTTCGGCCGGTGGCGGCTCGAGGTAGACCCGGGCCTGCGGCCTCGTCGCAGGGGACGGCTCGGGGTGGGGAGCTGGCCTCGTGGTCTGAAGGGGCTGGGCGCCCTGCGGGCCCCCAAACGGAATACCTGAAGCAGTGGCGCAGCGTTCCGGCTCGCCTAGATAGTCCCACCAAGCAGTGCTCGATGAACTTGTTGTGGCTTCCACGAACAACGTTCTTCGAACGTTCCTGGCGGAGCCGGTCCTGTTTTAACACATCGGGCTCCTGTTCTAAGAACATTGTTTTGGTTTTTAGAACATTTTTGGGTTCGAAGTACATTTCGTGGTAGGACTATAGGAATGCTGGGACGGTCTTTCCCCGCTCAAATACCAGGACATCGGATCTCTGGGACTGGGGAGCGGCCCCCCACCGCGCCGCGACGTGAAGGGTCGATGTGTGCGCAGCGGTGCTGTATCTCTGGCCTCCAGGAGGCTTCTCCTCACCACGGCGGGATCCGCGGCGAAAGTCCTGCCAGGTCGCACACCAGGAGGTCGGGGAGTCGACTTTCGGAGCCCGGGCCCTCGCGTCGTGAAAGAGAGTCGCGACGGACAGTTTGTGGCTGTCTCCGGCTACCAGGGCCTCTGCCGGGGCCGTCGACAAACTAGTCCTGATGAAAGCCCGCCCCGAGGAAGGGGTCCAGACTTCTTCTGCGGGGATCCGTGTTGTGAAACACTCACGACGTCGTTTGTTCTAAGGGACAGAGAGCGGTGTCAGGTACGTCATGGTTCCCGTTGTCGGGTTTGTCCCAGGGTAGCTCGAAAGTACCCCCACGGCAGCCCATGGGGGTGATAGGTTCTTCGCCGAGGGGGGCTTGGAGGACTCTGGATCAATGTATTCAGTAATGTGTAGAATTGTTCTGGGGCAGCCGAGAGGCTTCTCGTCGCCACATCTGAATCCCCTTCAAGTTCTCATGGTTAGAGTGCACCCTGGGACGAGTCTGGGGGACGATGCTAGCTCCTAAGACCCAGACCTCCGGGGTATTGCTTGTTTCTCTAGCTTGGCGTTGGTTCTTCCATTTCGGCCTCTGGGCGCCGCATTCGCGCCTCGGTTTTATCAGAAGTAGCCCCGAGCAGAAAACCTGTTCCTGGGGGGAAGGCCGAGAATTCTGTCGGCGGGTTGAGAAGATCCAGCGGAGGTCTAGGGAAAGAGCGGTTGCTGGGATTGGGGGCTTGGCGGACCCAGAGCCCTAGGATCAAGGATCGAATGTCCGAGTTCATTGTGCGCGCGTTCCCCTTCAAAAGCTGCTCGAGGATTCTCGTCGCCACGGCTGGATTCCATTCGAAATGTTACTCGGAACGCGTCCTGCGCCAGGTCTGGGGGCGACTTTAACACACCAGGAGACAGACATCCGACGGCTAGAAAAAGTCGGGGCGGCGAGTTCGTCGCATTGCTGGGCCCCCCCGGGGCCCCGCTTCGCGAGACACGCAAGCCGCCCGATGTCCGGGGACGCGCCTGTCTGGCGCACCCCTCGGCGTTGAGGTGGGAGGGCGGGGGGGGGGGCTACGACGTCTCAGGCACGCACGAGGTAGGCTCTCGGTGTCTTCTCTCTCTGGGCGCAGTGCTCATCCTCCTCCTCATCCTACTTCCTCCTACTTCCTCCTCCTCCTACTTCCTCCTCCTCCTCCTCCTCCTCTTCCTGCTACTTCCTCCTACTTCCTCCTCCTCCTCATCCTACTTCCTCCTCCTCCTCCCAGGCCGCGGGGGTCTGAGGACACCCTCCCCCTGTCGCTGCAGGGGCCCCGCCCTCCCCACCCCGGCTCCAGCCCCCTCTCGGCGGGATCCGCGCCCGCCCGCGCAGGAGGGGTCCGGAGAGCAGGCGCCGCGCGCGCCGGAGCCCTGGCATCGCTCGGGAGTGTGTGCGCTCTTTTTCTCGGCGAGGGGCATCGCGGAGCAGATTGGAGCATCTTACGAGAAAACACACGCACGCGCGCACACACACACACACACACACACACACACACACACACACACACGCACGCACGCGCGCGCGCGCGCCCGCACGCACGCACGCACGCACGCACGCACGCACGCGCGCACGCACGCACGCACGCACGCACGCACGCACGCACGCACGCACGCACGCACGCACGCACGCAAGCACGCACGCACGCGCGCGCACACACACACACACACACACACACACACACACACACACGCACGCACGCACACATACGCACACCCACACAAACAAGCAAACAGAAAACGCACGAAGTCGCAAAGCGCACGGGGAATGGACGGCCGAGCGGTGGCGAGAAGCGGGGGCGCCTCTTTCGGGCGAGCTCTGCGCAGGGCCAGGGCGAGGACGGCCGTGCGCCCTCTCGCGCGCGGCCCCGCCACCGAGGGCCTGGCGCGCCGCGCCAAGGCGGGAGCGCCACCCTCGGGCCACGTCGGCGCGGCGCCGCGCTGGGCTCCAAACCCCCAGCGGCATCCTTCCTTCGAACCCCTCCCCCTCCCCCCCCCCCCCCCCTCCTCCCCCTCCTCCCCCTCCTCCTCTCTCCCCTCCTCCTCCTCCTCTCCTCCCCTCCTCCCTCCTCCTCCTCCCTCCTCCGCCTCCTTCTCCTCCTCCCCCTCCCCCTCCTCCCCCTCCTCCTCCTCCTCCTCCTCCACCACCTCCTCCTCAGCACAGACGCATAAGCGTAAAACGTCAAAGGCTCACGTGGGCGACACCAAAATCACAAGGGCCGTCCGCGCCGACATCGGCGCGTAGGCTGCCCGCGTGAGGTCGCGCATGAGCGCCGTCGTCTCCCATGTAGCGTGCCGCGCTGGCGGCCCGCGTGAGCCGCGGCGCAGTGGTCGCTGCGCCATCTCGCGCAAGACCCACCGTCGATCGTCGCTCACGTGGGTTTCTTCGGTCGACGCTGGGCTGCCAGCGCCCTGGCACGCTTCGCGCCGCCAGGGGATGGGGGCCCAGCGCCGACCCCGGGAGAGCCGCGCGGGCCCCCGAGAGCTGACGTTTGCGCCGATCGCGTGTTCATCCCGCCGCGGGGGCCCCCTGAGGAGGCCGGCGAGATCAGCCTGGAGGACATGGCCTGGGAGCCGCACCCCCAGGACCACCACTTCGCGCACTCGCCGCCGCACCCCGCGGGGCCGTCGTGCAGGCAGTTCATGATGCGCGCGCAGCGCGAGTGGAACGTCTTGCGCAGGCCGGGGAAGGAAACAACTGCATAAGCTTAATTTCTCGAGGCTCCGCGCGGATTGCTTGGATCGGCGTTGGGCCCCCCTGGCGGCGCCTCCAGCGCCACCCCTGTCGCGCTCCGCGCGCCAGGGAGGGGGGTCCAGCGCCGATACAAGAAATCCGCGAGCACCTGCGATAAGTTATGCTTATGCGTTTTTGTTGTTCCTCTGGCAGGGGCCTGCCGAGCAGCATTTGGGTGCACATGTATCCAGATCGCATGGAGCTGCTGCGAGCATGCCTGATTGGTGGCGGGCCCAGCAGCTCCGACTGGCTGGCCGACAGGCAGTGCGACAGGGGGTGCGCGGGCGGGAGCACAAGCGGAAAAGGAAGCCGCAAGAATTGGAAAGTCGGTTGTCGGCAACGCTGCTCCCACAGCGCTGGGGAACGAGCCGTCTGCGCTGCCGCAAGCATGCTGCCGAAAAGCCGAACATGCACGATACGTGCTCGGTCATTTCATGGAGGTGGCCCTCCAATGCTTGAGTTTCCTGAAGGTTCTCTGGCTACCAGGCGTCCCTGCTGCGCTCGGGAACGTCTTGCAGCATGAGGTGCGGAGCATACAATCATAGTTGAGCAAAGTACCCAACCATGTGCGGGTGCGAGTGCCGCAAGGCAGGTTGACAGAGGAGGGGCAGCTCCCTCTGTATGGCCACGACGCGTGTGAGGGGTGTACTGAACCAGGTGCGGGGTCGCCATGCGGACTGTGCCATTGCGGCCTTCCTTGGAGCACCCTATGGGGCCACGCAGCGTGTGAAGGGTGCGCCGAATCGAATGCGGGTACGCCATGCGGACCCTGCGATTGGGTTCTTCGGTGATGATGATTGTGACGATGAGGACAAGCGGAGGGCAGAGGCAAGGACGGGGGGTGAGGAAGGGAATGGGGAGAGGAGAGGACGCGGGGCGCTGTCTGCTCGAAACGAGGACCCAACACCACATACTAGTTTTCAAGCAGTAGAAACATCGGGGAGGTGGCCTGGGCTCAGTAGCTCGGAGGGCGCCAACGACATGCGGATTTTGCCGTTGGGGCCTTCGGCGCAGCTCCACACGGGGCCACGAAACGCGTGATGGGGTGTTCCGAACCGAGTACGGGCACGCCATGCAGAGTGTGCCGCTGGGGCCTTCGGTGGAGCACCATATAGGGCCACGGAACGTGTAAGGGGTGTGCCGAACCGTGCGCGAGTACGCCACGCGGACCCTGCCGCTGCGGCCTTCGGCGCAGCTCCTCACGGAGCCGCGAAACGAGTGAATAGTGTGTCAAACCAGGTGCGGATACGCCATGCAGATTCTGCCCCTGGCGTTTTCGGCGCAGCTCCCTATGGGGCCGCGAAGCGCGTGAGGTGTGCGCTGAATCGTGAAGCTCCCTGCGGGGCCACGAAACGAGTGAGGGGGGGTCTGGACCCGAATCGGGTGCGGGTACGCCATGCGGACTGTGCCACTGGGGCCTGCGGTGGCACTTCTTATGTGGGCCTGAAACGTGCGAGGGTTGTGCCGAATCGAGCGCGGGCACGCATGCGGACTGTGCCACAGGGGCCTTCGGTGGAGCTTCCTATGGAATCACCAGACGAATGAGGAGTGTGCCGAATCGAATGTGGGTACGCCATGCGGACTGTCCTATTGGGTCCTTCGGTGGAGCTCCCTGTCGGGCGTGTGAGGGGTGTGCTGAACCGGGTGCGGTCACGCCATGCGGACTGTGCCACTGCGGCCTTCGTTGGAGTTCCCCATGGGGCCACGAAACGCGTGAGGGGTGTGCCGAACCGGGCGCGGGGTCGCCTTGCGGACTGGGCAATTGCGGCCATCGGTGGAGCACCCTATGGGGCTACGAAGCGTGCGAGGGGTGCGCCGATTCGAATGCGGGTACGCCCTGCGGGTTCGCCATGCGGGTTCGCCATGCTGATCCTGCCACTGGGGCCTTCGGTGAAGCTCCCTGTGGGGCCAGCATCGACGATGACGATTATGACGATGAGGATATGCGGAGGGCAGAGGCGAGGATGGGGGAATGAGGGGGGGAGGAGGAGGAGGAGGAGGAGGAGGAGGAGGGAGGAGGAGGAGGAGGAGGAGGAGGAGGAGGAGGAGGAGGAGGAGGAGGGGGAGGTGGAGGAGGAGGAGGAGGAGGAGGAGGAGGAGGAGGAGGAGGAGGAGGAGGAGGAGGGGGAGGAGGAGGAGGAGGAGGAGGAGGAGGAGGAGGAGGAGGAGGAGGAGGGAGAGGAGGAGGAGGACAAGGAGGAGAGGAGAGGACGCGGGGCGCTGTCTGCTCGAAACGAGGACCCAACACCACATAACGGCTTGCAAGCAATATCGGGGAGGCGGCCCAGGCTCAGGAGCTCAGAGGGCGCCAGCGGCAAGCCCGCACCGATGCTGGCCAGGTCGAACTTGGCCTCAGGAGTGGTGTACGCGTATGCCCTCCCGGCCAAGCCACGAGGGCGCATGATGCACCGATTCTGGGCCCAGGATGGGCTTGTCCAGGATGGGCGTAGATGTACGGCAGGTTCGCGCCGCGTCGACGCGGCGGTGACCCCAGCGCGGGCGTTCCCGCTTGAACGCCGCCGGTGGCCAGGATCCGGCCAGTATCGAAGGATCTGCGCGGTCAGAAAGCCGCGATCGCTTCAAGGTGGGACGACCCACGCGGTGTCAGGAAAAAACAACGCACGAGTCGTTACGCCACGAAGCAGCGTGCCATGCAGAAGGGTGGCAACAAACAACAACAACAACAACAACAACAACAACAACAACAACAACAACAACAACAACAACAACAACAACAACAACAACAACAATTACTAGCACGTGGGGACACTCCGTTCTCACCAGTGCCAGGGTTTTCATAGGAGGCGGGCAATACCCCCACTTTGTGGGGGGGCCGGTTCAAGCTCTACCAAATTTCCAAACGACTCTTCGCCACCACCCACACCCAGCTTCCCGCCCTATGACGTTCGGACACTTCACTTCGTGGCATGCGGACGACCGTGGCTACTATTCAGGGCCCCGCGGCCGACGACGACGGCGTGCGCGCGCGAAGAAAAAACGAATGTGTCCCGCATGGTATTATTTGACAGGGATGATGGCCCTGGCAGGTGCGCAACCGTTGTTGCAGAAGTTCGAAAAAGTTGCTCGCAAAAGCCCGTTTGACAGAAATGATTACAAAGTGTTGGGTTTCCTACGAATCCGCAAGAGCGCGCGGGATGAAATGTTGACAAGTTTTTTTTAAACCATTGGTTTTTTTTTAAGTTTTTATGTTAAAATCGCTACGAAAACCAAGGTTTTGGAAGGATTTCGTCTGGCGCGCGCGAATGTCCACTTTACCTTATTTTTTGCAAGGGATTCTTGAAATGTGGTTATGTTAGAACAAGAAATGTCATTTTATATTGTTTTTTGCAAGGGAAAGCGGGCGTCAACAAAACAACCGGATCCTGGACACATCGTTTTACCTGAGACTTCCTCACGAAAATGATGAAAATGTGGCTGCGGCCTAGGCGCGGCGGGGGGGCCATGCACCACGGGCCCCAACAATAATTATTCTTTAGAAGAAATAATGTTCAACAACAACAACAACAACAACAACAACAACAACAACAACAACAACAACAATTACTAGCACGTGGGGACACTCCGTTCTCACCAGTGCCAGGGTTTTCATAGGAGGCGGGCAATACCCCCACTTTGTGGGGGGGCCGGTTCAAGCTCTACCAAATTTCCAAACGACTCTTCGCCACCACCCACACCCAGCTTCCCGCCCTATGACGTTCGGACACTTCACTTCGTGGCATGCGGACGACCGTGGCTACTATTCAGGGCCCCGCGGCCGACGACGACGGCGTGCGCGCGCGAAGAAAAAACGAATGTGTCCCGCATGGTATTATTTGACAGGGATGATGGCCCTGGCAGGTGCGCAACCGTTGTTGCAGAAGTTCGAAAAAGTTGTTCGCAAAAGCCCGTTTGACAGAAATGTTTAAAAAGTGTTGGGTTTCCTACGGATCCGCAAGAGCGCGCGGGATGAAATTTTGACATTTTTTTTTTTAAAAAAAAAAAAAAAAAAAAACATGGCTGTTTGATGTTTTTTATGTTAAAATCGCTACGAAGACTAAGGTTTTGGAAGGATTTCGTCTTGCGCGCGCGAATGTCCACTTTACCTTATTTGTTGCAAGGGATTCTTGAAGTTTGGTTATGTTAGAACAAGAAATGTCCACTTTAGCTTATCTTTTGCAAGGGACAGCGGGGGACAACAAAACAACTGGATCTGGTACACATCGTTTTGCCTGAGACTTCCTCACGAAAATGATGAAAATGTGGCTGCGGCCTAGGCGCGGCGGGGGGTGCGCGCACCAGGGGCCCAAACAATAATTATTCTTTAGAAGAAATAATGTTCAACAACAATAACAATAACAACAACAACAACAATAACAACAACGACAACGACAACGACAACGACAACGACAACGACAACAACAACAACAACAACCACAACCACAACCACAACCACAACTACAACCACAACCACAACCACAACCACAACAACAACAACAACAACAGCAGCAACAACAACAATAATAATGTTAAGACCGTTCGCCCTTATATGCTCAAGTGTCCAATAACGCGTATTTCCCAAACCCTCGATACCCGCCCTCTTCGTCTTCGATCGAACCCATTTTCGGGGGTATACCTTTCTTCCCTGCAGGCTGGGCCCCGGCAAGCGGCGGGGCGGCCGCGGACCGTCGGCCTGGCCAGCGGCAGCGCTGATCGGCGGGGCGGCCGCGGACCGTCGACCCGACCCCACGAGGGACGGACAGGGGACCGACCGACGACGACGACGACGACGACGACGTCGAAGACGACGGCGACGACGACGACGACGGCGACGACGAGCGAAAGCGAGAGCGAGAGAGAACGACAGCAGGGCCACGAAGGGCACGAAGTAGGCCACGAAGGGCGACAGCGGGGACATGAAGGGAATGCGTATGGGGCCACGAAGAGCGCGAACGAGCGGGGGCCACGAAGTGCAGATAATGCGGGGCCACAGAAGGCAACTATGGGGCCACTGAGTAGCAACTGGGCCACGTAGGACAGTGAGGGGGACACAAATGGCGACAGCGGGGCCACGAAGAGCATGCACATGGGGCCACAACAGGCGCGACTCCTGGGTGCCTGGGTGTCGGGAGCGCGGCGCTTGGGCAAATTGAAGGAAATTCCGACGCAAGGCCATTCTTCAGTAAGTTGCAAGCAAGTCTCCAGCGAGAGCGCGACTCCAGAGCGC